GTTATTATAATTAATAGTATTAACTACTTTTAATACACATGTTGTGTTAAAAAAGATTCTTAAACACAAGATTTTATTTTCGTTTTTAGCAAAAAATTGTTTACATTCGATTTTTTTCAAAAAAAATTCATTTGTATAAACAATTCGCTTTACATTAATATTATGGCACTTAACGCTTAACGTCTTTATACAGTTATTTAAATTTTGACATGGAATCAACAGTTTTTTAAATCATAAATATTTTTTAACACTTATAATGATTTGTAGACAAGATGCTTTCAAAAGAAATACACAAATTAAAACGGCTGCAACTTGAGCCTGCAGCATGCGTGTCAAAGCATATTTTCGTTGCACTTAACTAATGTCACAGACATGTACAAATACAGCTATAGAACAGCAGTGGTGGGCCCAAAGAGAACAATGAAAAATATGTTAAAAGTTTATAATTGCATCATTCAATTAGACCTTTCGGGTTTCATTATCATTTGTGCTATAAATGTGTAGATCAGTAGTTAACAGAAAGAGAATACTTTAAATGAGTTCAAAATTTAAACGTCTATGTATTGGTGTGAGTTGTTATTGAACTAAATATATATTGTTGTTTATATAAAGTTGAAAGTTCATATTATTTTTATAATGAAATCCTTTTTAACTCTCTGCTCTAGAACTGGATTGGTTCTCTTTGCTTTAAACAGCAGATTGCTATCAAAACCTGTTGTTTACGGATGCCAACCTCTGCTGTAAAGACTTTTAAAATCATGTGTATTTTTATACCCTACACCACTTTAGTGGGGAGGGTATATTGGATTTGTACTGATGTTTGTAACATACAAAAATATTCGTCCTAGACCCACCTTAAAGTATACCAATCGGCTTAGAATCGTTTTCTGAGTCGATTAAGCTATGTCCTGGGTGGCTGTCCATGTAAACCTAGTGTGCAAGCTAAAGGTCGCAATTGTCAAGATAATTGGATGAAATTTGGCACGCATTTATTTGACCCAAGGACGAAGCCATTATTTCACCTAGCCCCCATAGAACAGAACCCCCCGAAAAGGGCTTCTGAGCTCATAATTATGTTAAATATACAGATATATCGATAAAATACGGCACAACTAAGTTTTATAGAAGTATTGATGACCCTGCCAAATTTCATAAAGATCGGCCCCCATTTGACCCTAGCTCCCATACAAAGTCCCCTTCAGAAAATTACTTGATTGTCCCAAATTAAGTTATAAACACAAATATCGCGATGAAATTCAGCACAATAAAATATTATGTAAATATAAATATATTCACAAAATGTTATCGGGCTTGGTCCATATTTGCCCCTAGCCCCCATATAAAGCCTCTTTCAGAAAATTAGTTTTTCATCCATAAATTGCTTAAATGTATCGGAACAAGGGAATATTGAAGATAAATGCTTTATTATGAAAAATAAATCACATTTAATATTCATAACTGGTGTAGGGTATCATATGTTCGGCCACGCCCGACTATACTTTCTTACTTGTTTCTATTTTACTTATTTCATTTAACAGTTTTTGGTTTTTTTAGTTTTTAGACTATAAGTGTTTAACAAAACCATTGAAGCATCCAAACATAAACTCAACATAATGATTATAGAAGTACAAAAAAAAAAAACATAAATCGTCCACTAGAAAAAAAACAACAATAACAACTCATAAACTTACTAACCTAATGGATGACCATTGAGAATTTAGTTCGTCATAGGCCATTGTGCAGAATAATGTCATATGAGGAAGGTTTGACTATAAACACACATAAATACATACATAAAGTACATTTAACATGAAAAAGACAAACAAATAACCTAAATATGATGCCATTAGTATATAACCACATACCAATATAGATTTTAAATAAACATAATTTTTTGTTTTCATATTTAAATATTGAAAATATGTTTAAGAGTTTTTAGGTTTGGTTTGATAAAATATGTTTAACAGCCTTCAAAACTCATATTTCAAAAGTTAAATACATATCAATCAATCCTAATTTCTCTTAACTGCTTACCATATACATATATTACATATAAGTAGTTCTTAATGATCGTTATATCAAAGGAGGTATTTGAAAAGAAAATTTCGAGAAGAAATATGGGAACTGAATCTCGAAAATTCGACTATACATATCTACGTTGACAGCCTTGCACCAATTTAGGCTCTTAACTCCAACGTTATTAAGTCGAAATGTCTTCTCATTGGCACAACTTACACAACATCACTTTCAGTTGATATGGGTATACTCTCATGGTAAACCTATCAAAATTAATAGAACTGGGCTTTGAGTGGAACGGAACTCAGGTGGTCAAATATCACCACTTGTAGAATATCGACACAGTTCTGGCCCCAAAGGGCTTATTATTAGGAACTCGATTAGGCTTCTCACGGGCATAATAAGTGGGCACTGTATGATTGGACATACATATGTCGGAACGTATGGGCTGCCCACGTTATAGCTACTGTATAAGTTGTTTGGATGAGGAAAAAGAGGAATCGGTACAACTCCTTCTATGTAACTCTCCAGGCTTACAAGAGCACATACTAATCTATCTAGGTAGAGCTATTTCTGATTCTCTCAGGGAACCTAAGGAACCATGTAGTCAACGAAATTAGGGAAATTAGCTCTTAAAGCGAAAGCCATTGTAACCATAATAGTTTAAAAAAGCTTTAAGCTTAGAGAGACGAAAAACTCAAAGAAATTCTAAATCATCATCTGGAATTGGAAAAAATAGCAATAAAGAGAAGCAATTGACTGCCTGAGAGTTGCACGACCAAATATCGTAACTGTAACGAATCAATGAGTTAGAACAGAAGATACCAAATCCTATCGAATAAGGAGAAGCAATTGACTGCCTGAGAGTTGTACAATCAAAAATCGTAACTGTAACGAATCAATGAGTTAGAACAGAAGATACAAAATCCTATCAAAATTAACAATCCCAATTAAATGTCGATTGTGAGACCGATACTTTGAGCAACAGTAATAAATTGGAACAACAACTTAAAGTTTTACATGAAGTTAAAACCTCCGCACAAAAAAAAAAGATTTTCTAACAGAGAGATGTTTTATGGGGGCTGGAGGTTAATATGGTCCTAGCTCTTATAAATTAATTTTTGTCTTTAAAATAATTTTCTGAAGTGGACTTTGTATGGGGGCTAGGGTCAAATGAATCCTGAACATTATAAAAATTGGCAGTATCATAATGTTCGGGATATTTGGAGAGATACAAGAACATTAAACATATTTATGAACTCAAAAGCTCCATGCCTAGCCCTAGGCGAAATTATGGACAGATTTTAACCATTTTCAATAGGCTTCGTCCTCAAAAGAAGAGTATGTGCCAAATTTCACCAAATTATCTTGAAAATTGCGACCTGCAGCGTGCTCACAAGGTTTACATGGACATAAAGACGGACTGACAGATAGATAGACGGCCATAGCTAAATCGACTCGGAAAGTGATTGTGAGGATGTAAGACCAATATTTTTGGGTGTTACAAACATCAGCATAAACGCATAATACCCTCCCCACTATAGTGGTGTAGGGTATAAAAACGTAACCAATATTTTTGTTATTTGCAGCCCTAATATATATGCAACTCTTTCGAGTATACTTTAAGCAAACCCGATTAGATATTGTAACTAAATTCTTAAATAAAAACATAAATCAAAAAGATGACATTTTAACTGTCAATGTTGTCATTTTATTAAAAAAAAACTTTTAACACCAAGCAAATTGTTATTAAATTCTAAATAAAACACCTTAAATACATTGTATCCTAAACAATTGATTTAATAGTTATTTAATATTTTTTAAATTTATTATAAAGTATTAAATATTAAAAAATATTTAAACTTTTTATTTAACGACTTAATTATAAAAAAAAACAAGACGTTTTTTTTCCAAAACCACAACTCAGTTTTTATGATTATATTTTATTTTTAATATTATTCATTAATAATTTTCTTATTTTTATTTGCATTTGTTTTAAAACCACACATTTTGTGTTATTTTTTTTACATTTATTATGGGATTTTGGTTTTGTCTTGAAAACTTTGTAAAACCCCACAGCTTTAAATAAACTTAAATTGAGCGTTTAAAGTTTGCTCAAAAGAAAACCAAAAGGGGGAATTTCCAGCTTTATTTTAAAATAATAAATAAATAGTGGCATTAAGTTTAAAAATTTATAAGAAAAGCTTGTGATAGAATCAAGCATTAATTAAGCTTTTAAAAGCTTATTTTAATATTAAATAGTTTTAAGCTTTAAGCGCTTGACATTAAATAGTTGCAATGAATAAAGTTGCATTAGGAAATAAAGAAAAGCTTTTAATAAAATCCTACTTTTAGTAGTGGCTTAAGCTTTCTAAAGCTTTAAGCTTTACATTTTTGAAACTATACCTTTCTTACTTTCAGTGTAGCTATTCTTTGAAGTATTTATGTAATGTGATAAATATTCTTTATTTTTAACAAGTCCAATACATTTAACTTTAAGTGTTAATTGTTTAAATTTTTAACCACTAATAAATTATAAACGTAATGTTCATGGTAAAGTAAATTAATATAGCAAACAAGCGTAATACGAGATGGTTATAGTTTTGTTTTTCTTCTGAAATACTTCTTATTTTAAAGAAATATTGATTTGTAACAAAATTATCACTTTTTCGCGCACAAAAAACTGCTGGCGATTGCCTAGAAACAGCAAAATATTGTTTAAAATATTTCACACTTGTTGAAGCCTGTCTTTGCATTGATTTTGTATTGAATTTCAAAATAAAAAGTTTAATGGCTGCTGCACGTTTTACAATAAATATAAAACTATATTTAATTTAGTATTGTGTTTTTTTTTTTCGTTAAAAACTTTTATTATTCAAAGCTATAAACACATTTTCAATAAAGTTTTATAATTTATGAGAAAACATGCCTCATGTAAATCGAATTTTTTTTAATTTTCTTTTTTTTTTTTCTTTTACTTTTAGCCTACCGATAATAATGTCTCAAATTTGGAAGACAGTTGGTGCTGGGAACCAGATAACAATAAAACCGAAAATGATCACAGTTCCGAAACCTCTAGTGGTAATGGCAATGAAATGGTTAACATTACCTTGGAGGAAATCCCCTTGGGAGCTTCAGCCAAGGCTAGCACAAAAACGAAAATACAACGTTTGGGTGCTGGATCCTCGTCTCAGAATGCTGAATTACAAAAGCGAATACAACAGCTAGAGGAGGAGAATAAGCAACTGAATAATTCCCTGGAAGAATTGGATACTCAGCATAATTTGGCCATGCAAAATATGCTAGAGCTTAAGACCGACTTGCAGGAAAAACTAGCCAAGGTGACTAAACATTATGAAGCTTTGAAAGCTACAGAAAAGAAAAAGTTTAATGATTTTCAACAAGAGATAGAGAAATACAAAAAGAAATCCGAACAATTGGAAAAGGACTATCACACAACTAGACAAGAAAATCAGGAAATAAAACAAAAACTGGAGTCTACGGAAAGAGAAATGAAACGATCCCTAGAGGAAATGGCTGATTTGCAAACATTGTTAGAAAAGAAATCCTTAGATAACAATGAACTTTTGCAAAGAATTAAGGAGCTGAGCATAGAGAGTGAACAGGAAAAAGTAGATCTTAATCAAAAACTAGACATGCTGTCCAAAGAACTGGAAGAATTGAAAGTAACAAAAAGTAAAAAGACTTCCGAATCCTCTAATAGTTCCACCAGCAAACAAAGTGAAGATGAATTTATTGTTGTAAGAGAACAAGATGCCACATCTTCAGGTCCTGCCACACCGCCCAGCAAGGAAGAGCTTAAGGATAAAATAGTGCAACTAGAAAATCGTGTCTCGGAATTGACTTTGGAAAATGGCAGCCTTTCGTTGAAGTTACAAGATCGTCAAATGGAAAAAGATCTTTCCATTAATGTGCTTAAAGAATCGGTTAAAACTTTACAAACTGAAAATGATGAATTGGCCGATAAACTGCGCATGACTCTTATCGATCTGGAAGATCAGCAATTTAAGATTAACGATCTTAAAGAGAAAGCTTCGGAGGCCATAATAGCTCAAGAGCAACTAAAAGCTTTAGCGGAGGAAAAACATAAATTCGCCCAAGAAATAGAACAAATGAAAGAAACTCTCAATAAATCTCTAGAATTGGAGAAACGTTTACTTATAGCAGAACAGGAAAAGGAAACACTACAAATCGAGTTACAAAACCAAAAGGCGTCACAACAAAGAATCAATGAATTGGAGCAGAAAATACAAAATCTTACCTATCAAAATCAACAGTTACAACTAAATGCCGAGTGTGAAACCGAAACTCTAAACAACAGCAATGAATTGGAGCAGAAACTTAAAGTTTTACACGAGGAAAATGATCACTTAAAATCCGAATTGGAACGACTCACCGATTCCAATTTCTCACGAGCCATAGCCGATGAAAAACATTGCATTACCGATTTGGATGAGGAGGACGAAGATGAAGGCTTCAGTTTGGAAAAGTTGAAATCACTACTAAAAGTATTTACCACACAAGATGCCAAGGAAATGCAACATGAGGATGTAGAAAAATTATATAAACATTTAAGAGATAAACTACACAAACTAGAAGCCACCGAAAGAGAATTGGCTCATATGTCAAGCGAAATGCTGGAATTGCAGGACAACAAATTGGTTTGGGATCATGAAAAGAAAACTTTAGAGGCTGACATTTCGCAGTACATATTGCAATGTGATGAACTAATGAAAAACAATGAAATATTGTTGAATGAATTAGAAAACTATAAACGCAACAAATTGGAAACGATATCGGAAAATAATGAAGAAAATATTGTACAATTGGAATCGCAACTGGAAGAGTGCAATAATCTCAATCGTACTTTGGAGCAGGAGTACATAGAACTTAATGAAAAAATTGAAGAATTGGAAAAGGAGAAACAATTACTAAATGAGAAATTAAGAACGTCCCAACAACAATGTGAGGCCTTAAATACAAAAGAAAAAGATTTAAATCTTCAGGTGGAAACATTAGAATTAGAAAAATGTAATTTACTGCTTAAGCTAAATGGTGTTAATGCCAGCCATGAAGAGCAACAAGAAGACTCACAAGCTTTAAGAATTTACCAAGAGAAATGTGAAAGTTTGGAGAAGCAACTAAATACTTTAGCCAAAGATCATGCCGATTTAGTGGCAGCTTTGCAAAAACAAAAAGAACAACTTTTGGAGGCCATACAAAAGGGTGATAACACTGAAAAACTATTAAGAGAGGAACAGCTTTTGGGAGAGCAACTAAAGGAGAAAGTTAAATCTATAGATAATCTGCAATCTTTAAATGAAAAACTACAAGAAAATTTGAAAGAAGCTAACTTACAGACAGAACAATTTAAACAGGAACTAATGGCTAAGGATATTGTAGCTGAAAGCTTAAAGCAGGAAGTAAAAACTTTACAAAGCTATTTGCAAGAAGCGGAAGGTTTAGTAGATAGTAAATTGGTATTGGAAGAACAATTAAATGAAAAACAACAAAAAATAGAAGAGTTGCTAAAGGAACTTAAAGCTGTTAAGGAAATAGAAGAAAACATGAAACAAGAATTAGACAAATTAATGGCTGAGAAAATTGATGCTAATCTGTTAGAGCAACTTAAAGAAGAAAAAGCTTTATTACAAGATAAACTAAAAACTTTAGAAAATGAGCTAGAAAACCTTAAACAAACTAATTTAACTGAAGCTAGCAACAATGAAGAACAGACAAACCATTTAGCACGTATAGCCGAACTAGAGTCACAACTTCTCGCCACAGCTGATTTGCAAAAATCCCTAGAAGCTTTAAACTATGAAAAACAAGAAATGATTAAAGCTTTACAACAAAAACATGCAGAAAATATGCAGTATTATATGGAAATACAACGTCTAACACCCTTAGCTCAACAACAGACAGATAAAACCTGTGATAAGTGTCCCTCTCTGGAAACGAACATAGCTGAACTGCAAAAACAACAGGAAAAGTTACAGGATCAAATTAGTTTCCTTAAAGAAAAATCAGATATATTAACGACCAATCTTTTGACGGAACAGACTAACCAGAAATTGGTACAACAAGAAAAGGCAGATGTTATGGAACAGAATGCTACATTGCGCAAGGATTTGGAACGTTTAAGAGCTCATCTTTTGGAAAGTGAAGATATGCATACCCAAGAAATGGTCGAACTGCAAAAGGAATTTGAGGAAACCAAGGCCAAAATGATAGCTCTTGAAGATGAGGTGAATAAGTCCAGCAATGCTTATACATCGGCTAGGTGAGTGAAAGTTGTTTATAAAATTTATTTTTTATAACTTAAAAAAACCACGTTATCAACTGGTTTATGCCTGAATGTTTAAAAATTCAGTTACATTTTTATTTAAATTAAAATTTAAATAAACGATACAGTTTTTGATTTAAATATTTAAAATTCCAACAGTTATTCAATTTCATGATGAAATTTAGTTCCGCATTTTGCTACCGTTTTTAACTGCTGTCACAGACATAAATAATATTTATTCTAACTTAATTTTGCTGTTATCAGGTATGGCAAGTTAATTAACCATAACTCAGACAAAGAAACCAAATTATATATTAATGACAAACACAAAACACCTGTTCAAACTTTACACCAAAAAAAAAAAAAAGAATGAAATGAATTTAACGAGCAAACAAATAAAAAATAATAATAAATTTCAAAAGAAAATAATAGAAATATTATCATCTAATTACTGAAAATACTTAAATTAAAGCAAATAGTAACGTTTAAACGAAATATATAACAGAGTTGCATACAACACAACAAAGACAAAGACTATAAAATTTACAAAAAACAAAAATGGTGTTTAAATAATGACGCCATATTGGCGGCCATAACTTATTTTCAGTTACTTTTTTCGTTTGCAGTTATTTAAAAAATGAAATAAAATCTTATCGCACAATGGAAGAAAAAAAAGCAATTGTGGAACTAATTTCAATTTTTAAGGTGTTTTTTTTTTATATATTTAAAATTTTAAATATGTTTTTATGGCTACAAACGTTCTTAGATTTTCGTTTAAATAATAATAAAATATGATGCTGATTTAGATATTACTGTTATTTGTTTACAGCATACGGGCCAATCAACATGCCGAAACATTGCAGGCTCAATATGCTTTGGTAGTACAGCAACGAGATGAATTAGTTAATAAATTAACAGTGGCTGAAGATCGTGAATCGAAAAATCAAGCGGCTTTAACAAATCTACAGTGTGCTTTAGAACAATTTCAAAATGGTAGGAAATTTCTTTATTAAAAAAAAAAAGTTAAAAAATATTTAATTTGTTTTAATTTAATCTAGACAAAGAAAATGATATCAAATTGGCCACACAACGTATACGCAAAGAATTGCAACAGCATTTGGACAAAGAAACACAATTGCAATTGGAAATTCAACAATTACAGCAACAATTATCGGATGCCAATCAAGGACTAAATGCTGCCTCCAGGCTTTCCGATCAATTAGAAGCCAGTCAACAAACTATTAATGTTTTAAGGGAAGAGGGTAAGTTTGCTTTTTATTTAATTTTTTTTTTAAATTTTAAAATATTTCAATGTAAATAATTCTACATTATTATCATAATGTTCACTAACTAATCCAAACAAGAACTTTTTGTGGCAAGGTAAATTCCCAATAAAAATCACTAACTACATAACATTGTTTTATATATAAGGAGTGAGATCGAAAAATTCTTAACATACATATATGTTTATAAAAAAGAAACCACTAAACTTACAGCTTTATTTTTTTTTTATTTGATTGAAATTATTATTACAATTTACAAAAAAAAAATACTTTTATAGTTTTAATCACTAGTGATGAAATTTTGAACCCTTTTCGGAAACCCTTCCATTAACGTTTTTATAGTGCTTTCTGTCACTTTGCTCGAACATGTAGTCCATCTCCGTTTAAAATCTACCACACTTTTGGACACCTTTTTTGTACTCTTCAATTCTCTTTTAACAAGAGCCCAATATCTCTCCACTGGCCTTAGCTCCGGGCAGTTTGGAGGATTTGCCTCTCTTGGTACAAATACCACATTATTGTTCTTGTACCACTCAAGGGCTTGTTTACCATAGTGACAGGATGCCAAGTCAGGCCAAAAATAAGTGGACACATTATGAAGTCTTATGAATGGAAGCAGCCTTTTTTGTAAACATTCCTTGATGTAAATTTCGGTATTTATAGAGCCCGTTGTAACAAATGATTGGCTTCTTTTGCCGCAACTGCATATTGCTTGCCATACCAAGAACTTTCTGGGAAATTTTGTCTGCTTTTGGGTCCTAAACTTTTCTTCAACATTCCCTCGAGCATCAGCAACATAAAACTTTTGACCTGGAAGTTGCGAAAAATCTGCCAGAACATACGTTTCGTCATCCATTATGCAGCAAGAATATTTTTTTATAAAACTTGACTTCAATTTCCGTGCTCTGTTTTTGGCCTCTAAATTTTTAGCAGCGTTCCTGTCAGGAACTTTTTGAGCCTTGTATGTTTTTAAACCTGCATTAGCTTTAACTTTTCGTACCAAATAGTCCGAGCACTGAGCTAACCGGGCTGCTTTCCTACCGGATGTGTTGGGAGCTCTTTTGAAAATGCGTTCTATTTTTTTGGCTTTAGAAACATCATGTGGACCATTCCTTCTACCTGAACCAGGTTTTCTATCAACTGACAAGTTCTCCCGGTACTGTTTAATAACATTGGAAACAGTTTGACGGCAGACCTTTGTATGCTTGGCCAACTTTTTGTAAGACCAAGTTGGGTTTAGTTGAAAATATTTAATAATTTCAGTACGCACTTTTTTCTGGTCACTCATTTTAATCAGATTAACAAAAAAATTAATATAATTGACATTACACATAATAACTGACATGTTTTTCAAAGGTAACTTGATCAAAAAAAAAAATCAAATAATACTTTGGTTGAAAAATATAATGAAAAACGTGTGTTAAGAATTTTTCGATCTCACTCCTTATATATTAAAGTGTAGTATGTGGCACATATTTGTTTGAAATTAAAATACTACACTTTTTATACATATTTATCACTATTTATTTAGCTAAATACTTTGTATCAACAACACCACCACCACCACTTGTTTATTATACAATCAAAAAACCAACCAAACAATCAATCAATCAAAAAATGCCTCATCTTATTTGTAATTCTTAAAAATAAATATCAGCTGGTAATTCTGGGATTTATTTCATTTGTTACCCTCGGAATTTCAGTTGGTATCAGTTTTTTTGAATTAATTTATAACACCATATATTTACGAAAATCCAAAAAAAAAAAAAAATGCAAAATTGTTATCAAAAAATTATGTTTTCATTATGAAAAAAAAAACAAATCAATTCGATTCAAATCAATATATTAGTTATAGTAAAAGTTGCAAAATTATTTATGTTTAGTTTTTTATTTTTATATTATTTTAATTTATGTTTTATTACTTATGGTTTTTGTATTTTTGTTTAAATGTTGTTTTTATTTTTTCTTGTACTAACCTCTTTAACAATTTTATTTGAATATTTTAATTGTTTTAATATTCTCTTAACAAAACATCATTTATGTTTTTCCATCATTTTTTATAACAACTTATTAGAATCCTTATCAGAATCTGTTGTCTAAAACTTTTTCTGATTTTAGTAGGAAAGGTTTCGAACAGATCTCAAAGGATTTGTGTTTGTTTGTATTACTTTAAAATACATTACATTGTATTACTTTTGAATACAAATCTATAGGCGAGACAATTATCTGGTTTTTCTTCGAGGCTGGTCTGTAGTCGGACCATAGTCTGGTCTATAGTCGAGAGAATGGTCTAGTCTACAGTCCATATAATAGTGGAATCTATGTTTGAGACTATTGCCTGTACAATAGATCTATTGTTCTAGACTATTGTCTAGTCTATAGTCAAGTTTATAGTCTATAGTCGATACTATAGTCTGGTCTATAGTTGAGATAAAAGGTGGTATATGGTTTGTTCTATAGTCAAGACTAAAGTCTGGTTTATAGCCCAGAAAATAGTATCGAATATAGTCAAGAATATAGTCTTATCTATAGTTGAGATAATAGATTGGTCGAAACTATAGTCTCTTCTATAATCAAGACTATAGAAAGACTGTAGTTTTTCCTATGGTCTATAGTCGAGACTATAATCTGGTCTATAGTCGAGCTTATAGACTGGTCTATAGTCGAGCCTATAGGCTAGTCTATACTATATAGACCAGATTATAATCTGGTCTATAGTCTATACTATAATCTGGCCTGTAGTCGAGACTATAATCTAGTCTATAGTCGAGCCTATAGACTGGTCTATAGTAGAGCCTATAGGCTAGTCTATAGTCGAGCCTATAGACTGGTCTATAGTCGAGCCAATAGACTGGTCTATAGTCGAGCCAATAGACTGGTCTATAGTCGAGCCTATAGACTGGTCTATAGTCGAACCTATAGACTGGTCTATTGTCGAGCCTATAGACTGGTTTGTTGTCGAGCCTATAGACTGGTCTCTAGCCAAGCCTATAGACTGGTCTATAGTCGAGTCTATAGACTGGTCTATAGTCGAGCCTATACACTGGTCTATTATCGAGCCTATAGACTGGTCTATTGTAGAGCCTATAGACAGATCTATAGTCAAGCCTATAGACTGATCTTTAGTCGATCCTATAGACTGGTCTATTATCGAGCCTATAAACTGATCTATTATCGAGCCTATAGACTGGTCTATAGTCAAGACTATTAACTGGTCTGTAATCAAGATTATAAACTGGTCTATAGTATAGACTATAGTCTTGTCTACAGTCAATTCTATAGTCTGTTATATAGATTATAGTCTGTTCTATATTGGATACTATAGTCCGGTGTATTGTCGTAAGTATGTATTGACTGATTTGTAGTCGAAACTATTGAGTGGTTTGTGGTTGAGACTATAGTTTGGTCGATGCTATAGTTTTACGATCTACTGCCACGCCTAGTTAAGCTTAATGTCAAATAAGCAGACAATTATGATGATTCAATTTAAAATATTGATATTTACCAATTTTTTTATTTAGTGGATATGACTCAGAGTTATCTTACTAATCTTTTGTTGTAGTAGGGGTTGAAAATACAATATTTCCTTTTACAAGTTTTCTAAGAAGATGTTTAAATTATTTAAAAGTAAACCGTAAATCATTTTAAATATTAAACTTGAAAATTAAGGTTTTTGTTCTCTACATTTTATTACACCTTTTATTTGCACTATTTCACTTTTTTTTATCACCTATCAATAGCTCATCACTTACTTGTATATTCGATTTTTTTTGTGTTACATTTTATTACTAATCTCTAAAATACTAACTTGCTCATCCATTAATAACAATTGTTTGAAATATAATTTTTTTAAGTTACAGTTTTTACTATCTCTACAAAACAGTAAAATTACAAAACAAAAAGCAAGACTGAAATCAAAACCAAACTCTATGCAAGTTTTCAAACAATCTCATTATGTAATGTGATGATTTACAAATTTTGAAATCACGTTGCATGTGGAGATTATTTGACATTGCATCTTAAACTTCATTAATTTTATAATTTTTTTTTGTCTGTTTTTTTCTCAAATTTAATTTTTTTTAACTATAAATTGTGTTGTCCTTTTGTTTTTTTTTTAATATTTAAACAAAAAAATATTTTAGCATGATTTTGTTATATTCTTCTTAGTTTAATTTTTGATTTTCATTTTAATTTTAAAGCAACTTTGTTAGGGTAATTAAATGTAAAGAAATTTGTTTTCAAATTCGTTTTTTTTTAAATAAAATGCATTTGTCTGGTAGAGTATTACATTAGGTACTGGTGTAGAATATGTCTGCTTAAGCACTATTCTGAAATACTAACCAGTACTTATGTCATACTTACAACTAGATAAATGTTAATGCCACATATTAATACTCTCCCCTCCAAAAGAAAATGTTCAGTGCATGATGTGTTTTAAGTGAAAAAAAAGTGTTTTCTATTGTTAAATGTGTTAAATTTAAGAAAAACTATTTAATTTTATAAAAAAAAATTTCTTCTAAAAATACTAATATTTTTTTCTTGCTTTTATTTTTTATATAGTGGAATCTTTGAAACAATTAAATATGGACTTGGAAAAGAAACTTTCAACCACGGAATCCAGTCAAACGGATAAAATCGAAAAGAGTCTTATTAAAAGTTTACTGATTGGTTATGTGGTCAGTGGCAATCCTAATGATAAGCAACAGATTTTAAGAATGATTTCATCAGTATTGGATTTCAATCAAAACGAAACCGATAAAGTAGGTCTTAATAAACAGCAAGGAGGCTGGCTGGGTAGCTTACTGGGAGGAGGTGGTGGTTCACCAGGTAATTTTAATTTAAAACTTTAATAAAAACTAAAAATATCTTAAAGGTAACAATTACTTTTTCCATTAACAGGTTCTCATTCAAAAGACAATTTAGTTCAGGCTTTTGTGGAATTCCTCGAGCAAGAATCTCAACCCAAACCACAACAATCACAAATGCCCAATTTATTAAATATAACCCATACACCAGTAACAGCAACAGCTGCCTCTACTAATTCAACGCCCGCCTCTAGACGTTCATCAAATATTGCAAATCCTTTAGGGGCAGCTAGCGGTGCCGCAACAACTTATCCCGCCCCCGTACCTATACAACCCTTATTACTCAATTCTACTGTGTTAGATGATTTTGCACCTTCACGTAATTCCAGTTCTATTTTAAAAGATATTCTAAGTGATTCTTGATTATTGTAATATTAATTGTTTATGTCCTATTTTATATATTTTTTTTAATTTTCTAAATAATAGTCCTGTTGTTTGTAAAAAATATTTATATTATATATTTTTTTCCTATACGTAAACGTGCAATTATTAAATTTTGTATCGTATATTGATTGTTTTTGCCGTTCTATATGCTAACGATGTATTTAAAAAGTGGCCCAATGTAAATAATTGTCTTTTTGATATTTTAGATGAAAAAAAAAACAACAACAAAAGAAATTAAGTTACTCTATATAATAGGTATGAAATAAATATGTAACGAAATAAATATCACTTATAAAGTATTTTTAAAAATTTTGCAGTCTTTATTATTTATATGAAAAGCTTAAAAGGAAGCAGTTATCTTTAGATTTTAAATCCGAAAATTTACCAGAAAGGTGATTTCCAGCCAGATTCTGCCAATAGTTTTCGAGTTTGAAGAAAATCGGCAATTTTGAGGAATGTTGGACCTAAGGCCAATATTAGACATTTTTAATTTATTTTTGGGTATCATATGGTCGGCCATTATGTCGCATGGGTGTTTGTTTACCTGACCCCGGAGAGCCGGGATTTTGTATACCTAAGGCGTTTTCTAGTCATGGTCAACTAGATCTTAAAGGTGAGCGTGTAAAAGATTATACAGTGGATCCATTGGAACCATCAGGGACCATGGCGCTCATGGAGGCCACACTGCCCAAGCCATTGCCTGAGGCATCGGTCACAGAAAAGTCTTTATAAGAGAAATGGTAAAATATTATAAAATTATATTTTTTAAAAAACTTTCATCCTTTCTTACCATTTTTAGTTCTTGGTTTTTTAAAGACTGGATCGTTATTGCTGATGATGGTGAGGCAGCATCTATCTTCATGGTGGGATCAGCACCAGGCTTTTTAAATATATTATAAAAACAATACAAATAGAGGTATACTTAAGATAATAACAACAATCTGAAATAAAGATACAAATAAACAAAAATTTTTAGTCTTTTATTCACTCCAAAGATCTGAAACAGTTCTAGTTCAGTTTTAGTTCTGTTCTTGCCTTGGCAAACAAATAATTTACCATAGACAAAACATGAACCTAAATGTACAGGAAATTTAAGAAAATTATTAAATTTCATAGGAAAATAGTTTTTTGCGCAAATTCTCGAAGCAAAAATAAAAAAATCAGAAAATTTTTATAAATTTTGGATCTAGGACCCCTACTACAACAAAATTTTAAATTTATTTTTTTGTTTGCTTTAATCTCGAAAACTACTGGCCGAATCTGGCTGGAAACTTTCCTTTCTGGTGAATTTCCACGCTGAATCCAAAAATGGAGTCAGAATTGACCTAGGTCCATTGTTTCATCAAAATTCCCGACATTTTTTTATTTTGAACAATTTGTTGTGTTATTTCGGGATCTAGAGGCCAAGGACAACTGAAATTTGTCATTTAAGACTATAATTTATGCTGAATCCGAAAATGGTTTCAGAATTGACCTAGGTCCAATATTTCATAAAAATTTCAGTACACAAATTTTGATCCAAATATCCCACGAAATTTGATTTCAAATCAAGATTTTTCTAATATATGAGGTTCTTGTCTTGGCTAGCAAATTTTTCAATAGTCGAGACAAGAACCAACAAATGTAGAGTAAATTTTGAGACAACATAAAATTTTGTAGTAAAATCGGTTTGAAATTTTGATCGGTAATTTTGATGAAATATTGGTCTCAGGTCCACTATGAGTTAATTTTCGGATTAAGCTTAAGCATTAATCTCGAATGTCAAATTCTTGCAATTATAGGCCTCGAGACCCCGATGTAATAGCACAAATTTCTTCAAATAAAAAATTTTCGGGTATTTCGATGAAATATTGGTCCCAGGTCCATTCTGACTCCATTTTTGGATTCAGCATGGGATTTTACCAGAAAGGTGAGTTTGCAGCCAGATTCGGCCAGTAGTTCCCGAGTTTGAAGTAAAAATAAAAAAAATCTGAAATTTTGATGAATGTTGGACCCAGGACCCATAGTACAACAAAATTTCAAATTTATTTTTTTGTTTGCTTTAATCTCGAAAACTACTGGCCGAATCTGGCTGGAAACTCACCTTTCTGGTGAATTTCCACGCTGAATCCAAAAATGGAGTCAGAATTGACCTAGGTCCATTGTTTCATCAAAATTCCCGACATTTTTTTATTTTGAACAATTTGTTGTGTTATTTCGGGATCTAGAGGCCAAGGACAACTGAAATTTGTCATTTAAGACTATAATCTATGCTGAATACGAAAATGGTTTCAGAATTGACCTAGGTCCAATATTTCAAAAAAATTTCAGTACACAAATTTTGATCCAAATATCCCACGAAATTTGATTTCAAATCAAGATTTTTCTAATATATGAGGTTCTTGTCTTGGCTAGCAAATTTTTCAATAGTCGAGACAAGAACCAACAAATGTAGAGTAAATTTTGAGACAACATAAAATTTTGTAGTAAAATCGGTTTGAAATTTTGATCGGTAATTTTGATGAAATATTGGTCTCAGGTCCACTATGAGTTAATTTTCGGATTAAGCTTAAGCACTAATCTCGAATGTCAAATTCTTGCAACTCTAGGCCTCGAGACCCAGATGTAATAGCACAAATTTCTTAAAATAAAAAATTTTCGGGAATTTCGATGAAATATTGGTCCCAGGTCCATTCTGACTCCATTTTTGGATTCAGCATGGGATTTTACCAGAAAGGTGAGTTTGCAGCCAGATTCGGCCAGTAGTTCCCGAGTTTGAAGTAAAAATAAAAAAAATCTGAAATGTTGGTGAATGTTGGACCCAGGACCCATAGTACAACAACATTTCAAATTTATTTTTTTGTTTGCTTTAATCTCGAAAACTACTGGCCGAATCTGGCTGGAAACTTTCCTTTCTGGTGAATTTCCACGCTGAATCCAAAAATGGAGTCAGAATTGACCTAGGTTCATTGTTTCATCAAAATTCCCGACATTTTTTTATTTTGAACAATTTGTTGTGTTATTTCGGGATCTAGAGGCCAAGGACAACTGAAATTTGTCATTTAAGACTATAATCTATGCTGAATACGAAAATGGTTTCAGAATTGACCTAGGTCCAATATTTCAAAAAAATTTCAGTACACAAATTTTGATCCAAATATCCCACGAAATTTGATTTCAAATCAAGATTTTTCTAATATATGAGGTTCTTGTCTTGGCTAGCAAATTTTTCAATAGTCGAGACAAGAACCAACAAATGTAGAGTAAATTTTGAGACAACATAAAATTTTGTAGTAAAATCGGTTTGAAATTTTGATCGGTAATTTTGATGAAATATTGGTCTCAGGTCCACTATGAGTTAATTTTCGGATTAAGCTTAAGCACTAATCTCGAATGTCAAATTCTTGCAACTCTAGGCCTCGAGACCCAGATGTAATAGCACAAATTTCTTAAAATAAAAAATTTTCGGGAATTTCGATGAAATATTGGTCCCAGGTCCATTCTGACTCCATTTTTGGATTCAGCATGGGATTTTACCAGAAAGGTGAGTTTGCAGCCAGATTCGGCCAGTAGTTCCCGAGTTTGAAGTAAAAATAAAAAAAATCTGAAATTTTGGTGAATGTTGGACCCAGGACCCATAGTACAACAACATTTCAAATTTATTTTTTTGTTTGCTTTAATCTCGAAAACTACTGGCCGAATCTGGCTGGAAACTCACCTTTCTAATAAATTCCCACGCTGAATCCGAAAATGGACTCAGAATGGACCTAGGTCCATTGTTTCATCAAAATTCCCGACATTTTTTTAATTTGAACAATTTGTTGTGTTATTTCGGGATTTGGAGGCCGAGGACAACTGTAATTTGTCATTTAAGACTAAAATCTATGCTGAATCCGAAAATGGTTTCAGAATTGAACTAGGTCCAATATTTCATAAAAATTTCAGTACAAAAATTTTGAACCAAATATTCCACGAAATTTGATTTCACATCAAGATTTTTCTAATATATGAGGTTCTTGTCTTGGCTTGTAAATTTTTCAATAGTCAATACAAGAACCCCCAAATTTACTGGCAGAATCTGGCTTGAAAGTGACCTAAGAAAGTGGACGTTTTGTTATGTAAAGAAGCTTAGAAACCTATAAAAACACAACTAGCAACTTACCTCCGAATGTTTAGATTTTCCAAGAATTAAACTCTTTTCATTCTGATTTTTAATAAAATTATTAATAATTTTCCTTTATTTAATGATTAAACTTAATACTAATACATTTGTAATTAATATTAACAATAATATTATATTTATATTTTTATTTAATTAATTAAAATGAAATCCTAGTAAATAATAAAAAAATACATAAAATTGTTTATCTTAATATATAAATTATAATAACATAATATCAGAGTTTTTATATTTAAGATAAATTTAATTATTTAAATTAAGTTATCAACTAATTATACCTTGCACCACTATAGTGGGGAGGGTATAATGCGTTTGTGCTGATGTTTGTAACACCCAAAAATATTGGACCTATGTGCACTCATCGGACCCGCTTTTCCATCCGTCTGTGTGTGCATGTAATTAAGATAATTCGATGAATTTTGGCACGAATGCCTCTTTTGGTCCAAGGACATGCTGATAATTTCAAAACCCTGGAATAATTGTGAGATTTTGGGATATCTTTGTCCTCCTCGAAATAATTTATTTTGCTGTGAAATTGTATTAATTCAATGTATCTGGTTTAACCTTATTCATCTAACAGATGCATGCTTTTTAGATTATAATGTAGACAATCTGTAGACAAGTTCAATCTGTATCTGCCAGGGTGATTTGTCATCTAGAAAGGAACTTATAATCGCTCAAAGTTCATACTGTAATATAACTAATGTAAATGTGTTCTTGATTTCATAGCATTGCCAGAAGCTTTATATCTCGAAAACTATTTGATATATTTAAATGAAATTGGTTTCAGGTTTTAGCTACACTATAGAGCTATAAGATAGAATGCAACTTTAATGCATACTGCCACGCCCACTATATGAAAACTAGACGTTTTAAATAAGTTATCAAGTTGTTTAAAATTTATGGTATTTGATACATTTATAGGGCAACCAATATGTAGACAAATTCCATATCTATCTGTGTGCCAATTTTTAGGGTGATTCATTATCTAGGAAGGATGTTATGGTACTTCAAAGTTAATGCTCTAACATAACTAATGGAAGTGTAGTTGTGCTTTTATATCACTGTTAAAAGCTTAATATCTCTTAAACTATTTGAGATATTGAATCGAAATTGGTATCATATCTTAGCTAAAGAACATAGCTATAGGTTCCATTAACATTTTACAACCAACTGCCTCGTCTACTTTTTAAAATTGATACTATCTAAAGTCACTTAAAATCTCCGCCCCTTTAGGGCGTGGCTATAATTTTTTATAACACATATGTAGACAAGTTCATTACCTCTTAGACTGTAAAATTTGAATAAAAAAGCTCTCCTACAACAGAAGATATGATGCTACAAAGTTTATCATTGAAAAACCAGAAAAAGCGAAAAAATGCACTTTAAAAAATTTCGTGGAACACCAGGAGAACATAATTGAATAGAAGGTGATTTTTTGTTTATACTATTTTTCAAAGCTTAGTAACTCGAAAACTACTTGAGATATTGTTACGAAATCGGTGTCATATTATAGCTACTGAATTGGGCTACAAGATCGTTTAAAATTTTAACGCCTACTGCCACGCCCACTATATGAAAACTAGGCGTTTTTAAGTAATACTTTGATGTATTTATAATTTATGTGATTTTATACTTTTTTAAGGTCACGAGCCTGTAGACAAGTTCAATCTCTATCTGCCAGCCAATTTTCAGGGTGATTTGTTATCTAGGAATGAACTTATGATAGCTCAAAGTTCATACTCTAATATCTGTAATGTAAATGTGTTTCCGATTTCATAACATTACTAAATGCATAATATCTCGAAAACTATTTAAGATATTTAAATAAAATTGGTGTCATATTTAAGCTACAGAATTGGGCTACAAGATCGGTTAAAATTTTAACGCCTACTGCCACGCCCACTATATGAAAAATAGGCGTTTTTAGGAAATTATCAACTTATTTATAATTTATGGGATTTGATACTTTTTTAAAGCATCGAATTTGTAGACAAGTTCAATTTCTATGGGCATGCCAATTTTCAGGGTGATTAATCATCTAGGAAGGATTTTATCATCGCTTTAAGTTTATACTCTAATATCTGGAATGTAAATGTGTTTGCGATTTCATAGCATTCTTAAAAGCTTTATATCTCGAAAATTATTTAAGTTATTTTAATAAAAATGGTGTCATACTTTAGCTACAGAATTGGGCTACAAGATAGTTTGAAATGTTAACGCCTACTGAAATGCCCACTCTATGAAAACTAGGCGTTTTAAACAAATTATCAATTTATATATAATTTATGGGATTTTATGCTTTTTAAGGCAACAAATATCTAGACCAGTTCAATATCTATCTGGCAGCCAATTTTCAGGGTGATTTGTTGACTAGGAAGGAACTCATGATCGCTCAAAGTTCATACTCTAATATCTGTAATGTAAATGTGTTTCTGGTTTCATAACACTACTAAAAGCTTAATATCTCGAAAACTATTTAAGATATTTAAATAAAATTGGTGTCATATTTAAGCTACAAAATTAGGCTACTAGATCTATTTCAATTTTAAGGCCCATTATATGAATTTTAGCCAATTCTTCTTTCTTCTTGATATTCTTTTGGATTTTTCTCTTTATAATGCTTACTTACCATTTCCATACGATTCTAATAATAATAAATTTACGCATTGGATGTAGTTTTTCTAATAACATTCAAAATATATTTTTGATTGATTTTATTTTCTTTTTGTTCTAATAATTTCGTATTATTTTTTGTGTATGATTTTTATTTTCATATAAATAAATTATTTATAATATCCGTAATATTTAAATATTTTTTCGATTTCTTGTTACACTTTTGTTTACTGTGTTACTGTTATAGTTTTGTTATAAATTAATAACAATTTTATATTAAAAATTAATATTTATAATTGAGTTAATTTTTTTGTTTTTATTTTGGCTAATTACTAACAATTATTATATATAAATATTTAAATAGATTTTTCATACAAGTACATATAAAAACTATAACATTGGAAAACTTAACATACAATATAAAATTTTTTTTTATAGTTTAAATAGAGTAAATTTTATAAAAAGTTTTAGTTTAATAATAATAATAAAAAATAATTTACAAAATTGTTTATTATATTTAATAAAAAAGAAAGCCTTAAATAAAACAAAAAAAAAATATATACAATTTAAAAAATTAGTAACATTTTTATAAAACTATAATTTATACACAATAAATATTTATTTGAGTAATAGGATATTTAAGTTTTTCTTTTAATATAAAGGCTGTTCACAGTTTCTTTTTAAATGATTGTGTTTTAAGACTGTGACAAGCTTGTTGTTGTAAACTTTGACATTTAATTGTTTTGTTACGGTTTTATGATATTTAAAAAATATATAAAATTCTTTTTTTAAAAAATGTGTAACAAATTGATTTTGTTTTTTTTTTGTTATTTAAAGGTGTAGACATAAAGATTTTTCTTGTTATTATTATTTTAATAATAAATAAGTTTTTTTATGATAATATTTAATTATGTTTATTTGTTATAATTAGTTTTAAAACAGTTTTAAACTTGAGTTCGTTTCATGTATTTTTATTTCATTTCAAGATTTTTTTTAAATTTGTTTCTATATGTTGAGCTTTTTTTTTTAAAAGTAATTAATATCGGTTTGATATTATCTTTAGTTAATCTAATACTTTTTGCAATGTCAATTTTAAAAAACTACTTTTATTTTAGTAGGAAACATGGACAACTTTTTTTTTTGGTTTTATCCTTTTCTAGTTTTAAACAAAGGGACCATTTGCTTAAGTACTCTCTGAATAGTGTTAATATTACAGTTAGTTTCTTAAATAACATATTTAGAATTTTTTCTAATTTTTTTTACAAGATTTTCTAATACATTTTTTTATTTTTTAACAATTTGTTTTATATTGTTAATATTTTGCTAATACATCTAAATACGTGACATATTCATATCAAATACAAGTTGTTGTTTTGATTTTTTAAATATATTTTTATATTTAATAAAATGTTTAATATTATGTCATTTTGAATGTATATATTTTTGTGTAAAAACATGTGTATTTTGAACGGCAAGAATATAAAAAAGAATTATAAAAAAATTTTATATTTATTTAGCATAGTTCGTGTTTCGTTACTGAAAAAAGAAAAGGTTGGTGTCTCGGCTAAAACTGTTAACAAATATGAATGTTCGTAAGTAAAGTTTTAGTTGCCTTTTTTTAAATTTTAAGAACGCATTTCAATTGAGTATAGTTGTGTTTAGTTAACAAGGAAATGGTTTGTGTCTTGGCTAACAAATATGGTCCTTCACCAGCATGGACATATTACTAACTTTTATTATAAAGAGTCCTTTTTAGTACCTTCAATAGTTTTACATCAATAGACTAGTTCAGTGACTAATCAATTGGCTAGTCTACGGTCTAATCTATGGTCTAGGCAAATCTGGAACTAGGCTATGCAAAAGTCAGTCTACTTTCCACATTTTAGTCATTTAACAAAAGTCGATTTTTTCTGACATTTCTAATTTTATTCTTACATTAAAGTCAATTTTTTGACTTTATTGGGACATAATTGTTTACTTCAACTTTTTTTGACAAAAAGTCCATATTTCGATTATTCGAAAGACGATTAATAGAACCGTATGAACTAGACTTTTAACTAGTAAATGATCTATTCTATAGACTAGTTTGTAGATTAGTCTGTTGACTAGTTTATAGATTAGTCTATTGACTATTGTGAGTACTAGTCTTTGGACTATTCTATGGACCAGTCTATGAACTAGTCTATTGATAAGTCTATGAACTAGTGTATAGAATAGTCTGAGACTAGTTTGTCTTTGGACTATTCAATTGGCTATTCAATGACTAGACAATTGACTAGTAGTGTATATTGGACTACTCTATGGACTACTCTATGAACTAGTCTATTGACTTGTCTGTGGACTAGTCTAGTCCATAATTTGTAATTTAGAATCTAGTTAATTGTGTAGTCTATGGACTAGTTTTTGGGCAAGTCTATGGAGTAATATATTGACTACTCTATGAACTACTTATGAAAATAGTTCATGGAGTAGTCAGAAATTACTTAAAAGTTATATACTACTCTATATACTAGTCTGTTGGCTAGTCTAGTCCATAGTTTGTAATCTAAAATCTAGTTCAGTCTATACAGTAATATATTTTCTATTTTCATAAGTAGTCCATAGAGTAGTCAAAAAATACTGAAAAATTACAATAGTGTTGTATTTTCCATGCCTGGTCCCTCGTAAGCTACAGATTTCCACTCCATTTTCTGTTGTTCATATTATAGAGAGTCTAGTCCACTTTTTTTTAAAGAAATACCTAGTAACTAGTTCTCTTTTTGTTCAATTTAGATTTCTTATCTATTTCACGAATAATATGAATTTTGTTATTAGAAAAATAATAAGGTGTATGTCTTGACTAAACCTGCTAAATATGGTCCTTCGTAAGTAAAGTGCAGATCTGAGTTTCTTTTTTCATACTATTTTTTCACATTCGTTTTAGGAATAGTTCGTGTTAGGTTACTAAAAAGGAAAGGTTTATGGCTTAGCTAAAATCAAATATGGTCCTTCATAAAATATATTTATTTTCTTTATCAAGTAGAGTTTTCACTATTTGAATCGGTTTTTTGGATTTCAGCAAGATATGGCTTACAAAATGTTACGGTTTTTTGAAAAATATTTACATAGACTTTATATGTTATAGAATGGCAAGTCAAATTAGGTAAAAATTAAAGAAAATATGTTACATTTTGTGTAAACAACTTGTGGGATCCAAATAATATATCTATATTTTTAAGAATTTTATTTTAATCAATAGCTTTTCTTACATGACTTCCCAGGTGAGAAACTGCAAGTCTCAATTTGTGTCCAAAAATTGCTTAATTCTTCAATATTTTGAACTAATACCGAGAATGTTATAAGAAATCTTAACTGGATAAAGGCAATCACATTTCTTAAGAGTATCTCAAGTGGTATATAACTTTAAGTCGGTCATACTTGTTGTTTTTAGTCCACATTTTGACAGGTTTGAACAGTTTATTCATGTAGATATAGATAGCAATTGGAAAATAGATTTTTGGAAGACAACTTAAAATTTGTACTTGTGTTAATGGAAATGAGAGAATTGCTTTCTATGCCATTCCAACGATCGGAAAAAGTAGACAAAATAAAGAATTACAAAGAATATTTCTATAACATTTAAGCCAACTACAGGTAATCTGAAGAAAAGGTTTATTAATTTTTAAGACAATTGGATCCTAATATAGAGAATTCCGTAATACACAAAGTAATTGTTTAGGTCTAGTAATGCGATCGGTTTAAGCTAGTCATTATTAGATAAATTAAAGAATCAAAAGTAAAATATATAATAAGATAATTTAAAGGACAAATGTTTGTAAATATTATACACCATTCTAATTTACATATGTAATACAAAGCTCGTTATATATCTTAAGATTTTCGATATAGCAAATATCATGTTGGCATTTAACTAAATATCTTCGATTAATATAATTATCAAAACATTTAAGTTTCGCATATTGTATGCATTTGAAACCATTTGTAATCGCTTGAGTAAATCAGAGTTTTCCATAACATGCAGCAATATTTCGATATTTTTTGAAAACTGCATGTAGGTCTTTATAAATATAATAAATAAGTAAAATCAGAGAAATACAATTTCTTCCTCTAGACTTGGTTGCCAAAAAAAGTTTTAGTAAAATATATATCATTCTATAGCATTTTGAAAAACTTTATGGCCACCATACAGTTGCAAACTTTTCTCAAAAACTCTAAGCCATTTTCATGTTCAAGAAACAGGCCGGCCGTTAAAAGCAGTTTTTGAAAACTTCACATCAATATAACAAAAACTGCTTCTTGTGCCTTTGTCTTGTTTCTTATAGAAAAATTTCTCCATCATATAATTTGTATGTTTAAAAGAAAACAAATCATCTTTATGATTTAACTAACACTACCATTCTGCTTACCATTTCCCATCTGAGAACTGTGAGTCTCTTCCTCCTCTTCGTCATCACCCAAAAGATCGGGTTTTCGGCGGGTGAATAAAAATACTTCCATATTATCTTTACCCTTAACATAAACACTGCCACGAGGTTCAAATTCATATTTGGCTTCCAGAAAAGGTAAACAATCTTTACCCACTTGTATACGATTCGAAACGCCAGTGGAGTCCATACGAGAAGCCACATTAACCGCATCACCCCAAATATCGTAGTGCAGTTTACTAGTGCCTATAACGCCAGCGGTAACATCGCCCACATTGAAACCTATGCGCAGTATCAAATTAAACTCCAATAGATCCTTATTGAAAGCATCCACTACACCCTGCATGGCCATGGAAAATTCCATTAAGGCATAAATATGTTCATAGCCATCGCCACGATGATTGGGATCCAAACCACTAGCTGCCATAAATGTGGAACCAATAGTTTTAATTTTCTCCACACATTTGAATTCTGGACGCGATAACAACTCATCAAAATCTCCTATCAGTTCATTGAGAACTCTCAGATATTCCTTGCCTCCCAAATAGCTTTCATCGTACATTTCGTTAAAGTTAACAATGGAGGCAAAAATAATACCAACATTATGATGATTTTCGGAATATTTGGCGGTATTTTTTAAATGTTCAGCCACATGTTTGGGTATAATGTTGTGCAGCAACATGTCAGCTTGATTTTTCATATTTTGGACACGTATCTTATCCTGATTGGCCACCGCATTACCATAGAATGTTAAACGATAACCAATTTCAAATTCCCGATTCAGAAACCATACTAACACAAGTATGAGAAATAAATCCAAATAGATTTCGACATGATAATCTTGAAACCATTTAATTTCTTCGATAATATATTTGGCCACATCCCGACGGAGATGCGGCAAACGGGTGGCATTGAGTAGAGATGCGGCGGACTCGGTGGCATCGGAACGATTTGAGTAGACCAATAGTTGGGAAACAGCTATGCCCACAAAACATAAAGCTGCTAGAAAGGCCAAAATATTGCGCATCCAACAGTTCAATTGGGTAAAATTGCAGAAATGGACTATGCACACAAATATCAGAAAACCATAATGATATTCGAATGCCTCCAGTTCATTGAGATCCAATAAAAGAAAATTCGCTATAATTAAAATAACCGGCATGGCCATTAATACTGCCAAACAAATGTGCCAAGGATACCAACTGGAAATGGCCTCAAATAAACGATCGGCACAGGATTCGCTATTGGCCACTTTCGTCCTAGTGTGGGTGGAATGTCTGCGACACATTTGGCGGGTAAAGAGAAATAAAGCGAAAATTTGTATGGCGGTAAAGCAGGTGAAAAGCGACACCCATAGACGAAAACTGGGAGTAACCGTATTGGGTGTCATCAGGAATAAAGAGATGGAAATACACAAATAAACCGCCAAACCCACGAAAATATCTATGTAAGTATTATATCTGGGCGTGGCTAATGTGGGAGGTCCTTCCGTTTCACTTTCATTACCAAATCTATGGGCTTTCGAACGAAAGTCTCTTTCCATTTGGCGGGATTTGAAGTATAAACTAAATTTCCTAAGAGGAGGTTTGACTAGATAACTCCTTTGGGATTTGGCATTATCACGTACACAGCGTATCAGCTGGAGATCTGATTGTTTGCGCAGTTGTTGTAAGCAAGCGGCCAACGGATCAGCAACTTGTCCACTTGCAAAATCTTCAGGCGGCGGTGGTGGCATCATGGCGGCAGGTAGTGGCACATTGGGTACATTTTGTACATCTCCCAAATTGGAGATGCTGGAAGTTGAACTGGTAAAATAGCCGGAAACACGGTGAGTACTAATGGCGGTTTGGTTAAGGGCATATATTTGCTGTTGTATCGATGAACGGCGTGAATTACTTTTGATGCCAGAATCTTTGCGGGAAGTGGCGGAGGGACATATACTTAAACCATCCGGCCATATGCTGGAGTTACGTGAGTGTGTAGGTTGATGTGCAGTAGCTGCACCAGGTACAATTAGTGGTTGTGCGGCATTGTTATTATTCACTCCCTCCGCTTTGGCTGCCGTCAAGGTGGAAGCTCTGGGTCTAGGTAATGGTGAGGTTTCCGATTGTCCACTTCTACCGCACTGTGAACGATAGCTACCAGATCTACCAAATGGAGAGATATCACTACGAGACTGACTAATGTATGATCTTATATCAATAATGTCATCGAACATGGAGTATTGACCGGGAGAACAACAACTGGCATCGGGAGAACGATTAACATTGTTACTTATACCCGTTGAAGTGGCCACATGATGCAGCGCGGGTTTATGTGGTATTTCCAGCATATTGGTGTTAGGTTTATTATTTTCCACTACCACAGGTTGCAGCGGTTGATAACCATTGGGTTCTATAAAAGCTACGGTCTCTTCGTTTCCCGTGGGTGTCTTTGGTACAGGATGCATTAAGCTGATGCTTACCTCGGTGTTGGTAGACTTTTCATTTGTCTTACCAATATCCTCCAGTTTCTTAAGAAATCTCGGTACCTTCCATACCTTTAATCTTATCTTTGGTCTACTATTGCCTACTGCAGTTTTGCCATTTTTATTGGACTCTTGGCTCTCATCATTCGTTTGTTCAGGTTCATTTTCAGAATCCAAACTCCCAGGTAAACTTTTCGTTGTTATTATTATCTTTGGTCTTTCACGACAAACTATAACGGGAGGTATTCCCGCTGCAGCGGGGTGTATAATGCCACGTTCAACATCCATTTCCCGGGATTGTGATTTTTTGCGCAATTTCATGCTTAACGAAGTCAGTCTTGGTCGTATTGAGAGTACAGGCGAAGGATTTAAGGATGTTGATAGTTGACCCACCGGTGAAGCGGGTGGAACATTGGGATGTATAACAGAAATGTTGGTAGCACTTTGCGTTAACGAGATGGGTTGTCCTGGTATGCCGGGCAGCTGTAAATGACTGCTTGCTGAGTTGGCATGTACACTGGGACATAAACTGTTGGCGCGGGAGATGTCTTTTCGGCGACCCACCACAAAATAGGTGCGATGACCTGTACAAATGGGAAAAAAAAATTTATAAATCTTTTTTAAAGTTTTGAAAATATTTAAAAATTTACCAAAAACCTCTTCTCCTTCATCTAGATAATAAGCTTCACCCAGAAAACTTGCCGTTTCTTCGGATATATGAACTTGTTCAGGTTTACCAGAGGACTCCATTCTAAAATATAATTTAATGATAGTAAATTTTAAAAAATGGTTTGGGGAAAGCTAATTAATTTTTAAAATACATCTAGTTGTAATTGAATTCTTCAATTACAATTATTATAATTGTAATTACTATTGCTCAATTATAATTAGTTGTGATTATTGCTTTTCAATTACAATTACTTGTGATTTTTCAATTACAATTACTTGTAGTTGGTGTTTTTCAATTACAATTACTTTTAATTGAATAAAAATTGTATAATAATGGTAATGTATTACTTAATGTAGGTGTTTATTTTACTCACTTATTAGCCAACGAGACATCATTACTCCAGACATCAAACTTGACCCTCCTCGTACCAACTATACCGCACAAAACGGTGCCCGTGTGAACACCCACACGCATTTTAACACCTTCATGCCGCTGAGCATCAAAACAACGCATAGCATCTATCATACCCAAACCCATTTCCACACAACATATAGCATGATCCGGCCTAGGTTCCGGACAGCCCGATACACAATAATAACAATCACCTAGGGTAGAGATTTTCTCGCAACCATTTAACGTACATAAATCATCGAATCTTTCGAAGAGATCATTCAAAATTTCCACCAACTGTTCGGCGGTTTTCGTTGAAGACATTCGTGTAAAGCCCACAATATCGGCAAAAAGTATACTGACATTTTCCATACTATGCATGTGAAAGGGACGAAATAAAGACTTCACATCATTCGAGGGCCTCGGACGCATATAATGTGATTCGGGCTTAATGGAACCATCATTATTACCATCAATGCCTCCCTCATTCAACAACATGTCAGCAACTTTAGGCGGCATTACCGAGTGAATCATTTTCTCCTTCAATTGTTTCTCTAACTCCAGCTGACGTCTGACTAGTAAATTTTGACCCACCTTCATGAAAGTACCACGCATTCGCACCAAATTCATGACCAACACATGCAAACCCACCAAATGTACACACACATGACAAAGTATCCTTAAGAATAGAATTTTATAACTAAAATCTGCCGTCGCTCCATGCACAGCATTTCCTGCCACCACCATATGGGTAACCACCTCAAACAGTATGGTATAGCTGACGGCTATGGCCGCACTCAACCACAGCGTCATGGGTAGGGCGGTATAGATCAGCAGGACTATTTCTAAACAAATGGCAAAATGACCCAGTGGGCTAAAAGCTCGCCCTGTATATGTGAGAAATATTAGTGACGTAGCACACAATATTCCCGCCGTAATTGCGGATGTGGCTATGTGATTTGCTCGATACATATCCCAGTGTGTAAAGCATATGGCCACGATTGTTATAAGCGATATAAGAGAAAAGGAACTTGAGATAGGACGCCAAAAGTCTTCTGAACCGCCATCCACGAGGAAGTAGAAAAACCAGGCTACCGAACAGAGCAGTATGTACGAGAGAGTAAATCTAGAAAAAAGGAAAATTTTTAATTAAATTTAATTATCTTCTGGCTAATAAATACTTAAGTAAAAATGATTTTTGGTTTTTTATAAAAATTTTAAATACTTTGTTATCCTTTAAGGACACTAATGCCTTTAACAGAAATTATTCAATAAACTAAATTTTAATTTGTTTGGTTTTTCCCCCATTTTTTTGTTTTCGCTTATCTTAGCAAAACTTATAGATGAACTTTGAAAAGTCTGAAGCGTGTATTTGACATATTACATTTTTGGGATTATAAAAGAATAATTCAGTGGTTCCCAATGTTAAGAAACAGAACCCAATATAAAAAGAAATTTAACGAACGTTTCCTTTGAAATTATTTTATTTTCCTTTTAAAGAAAATTTTGCAAAAAATGTATAAAGAAATTTAACGCAATTTTTCTAAGAAAGAAAATTTAATGAAAATGTTATAAAAATAAAGTTTAAGAAAAAATGTTAATAAGAAAATAAAGAAAATTTAGAATTTTTTAATAAATTTTAACGTAAATTTATCGAAAATTTTCTATAAAAAAATTCAAGGAAAATTTTGTATACAAAGAAAAAATTTATCAAAATTTTTCTAACAAATGAATTTTTAACGAAAATTTTCTATAAAAAGAAAATTTAATGAAAATTTTCTATAAAAAGAAAATTTAATGAAAATTTTCTATAAAAAAAAAATTTAATGAAAATTTTCTATAAAAAGAAAATTTAATGAAAATTTTCTATAAAAAGAAAATTTAATGAAAATTTTCTATAAAAAGAAAATTTAATGAAAATTTTCTATAAAAAGAAAATTTAATGAAAATTTTCTATAAAAAGAAAATTTAATGAAAATTTTCTATAAAAAGAAAATTTAATGAAAATTTTCTATAAAAAGAAAATTTAATGAAAATTTTCTATAAAAAGAAAATTTAATGAAAATTTCCTATAAAAAAGAAAAATTATCTATAAAAAGAAAATTTAATGAAAATTATCTATAAAAAGAAAATTTAATGAAAATTTTCTATAAAAAGAAAATTTAATGAAAATTTTCTATAAAAAGAAAATTTAATGAAAATTTTCTATGAAAAGAAAATGTAATGAAAATTTTCTATGAAAAGAAAATTTAATGAAAATTTTCTATGAAAAGAAAATTTAATGAAAATTTTCTATAAAAAGAAAATTTAATGAAAATTTTCTATAAAAAGAAAATTTAATGAAAATTTTCAATAAAAAGAAAATTTAATGAAAATTTTCTATAAAAAGGAAATTTAATGAAAATTTTCTATAAAAAGAAAATTTAATGAAAATTTTCTATAAAAAGGAAATTTAATGAAAATTTTCTATAAATACAAAATTTAATGAAAATTTTCTATAAAAAGAAAATTTAATGAAAATTTTCTATAAAAAGAAAATTTAATGAAAATTTTCTATAAAAAGAAAATTTAATGAAAATTTTCAATAAAAAGAAAATTTAATGAAAATTTTCTATAAAAAGAAAATTTAATGAAAATTATCTATAAAAAGAAAATTTAATGAAAATTTTCTATAAAAAGAAAATTTAATGAAAATTTTCTATAAAAAGAAAATTTAATGAAAATTATCTATAAAAAGAAAATTTAATGAAAATTTTCTATAAAAAGAAAATTTAATGAAAATTTTCTATAAAAAGAAAATTTAATGAAAATTTTCTATAAAAAGAAAATTTAATGAAAATTTTCTATAAAAAGAAAATTTAATGAAAATTTTCTATAAAAAGAAAATTTAATGAAAATTTTCTATAAAAAGAAAATTTAATGAAAATTTTCTATAAAAAGAAAATTTAATGAAAATTTTCTATAAAAAGAAAATTTAATGAAAATTTTCTATAAAAAGAAAATTTAATGAAAATTTTCTATAAAAAGAAAATTTAATGAAAATTTTCTATAAAAAGAAAATTTAATGACAATTTTCTATAAAAAGAAAATTTAATGAAAATTTTCTATAAAAAGAAAATTTAATGAATATTTTCTATAAAAAGAAAATTTAATGAAAATTTTCTATAAAAAGAAAATTTAATTAAAATTTTCTATAAAAAGAAAATTTAATTAAAATTTTCTATAAAAAGAAAATTTAATTAAAATTTTCTATAAAAAGAAAATTTAATGAAAATTTTCTATAAAAAGAAAATTTAATGAAAATTTTCTATAAAAAGAAAATTTAATGAAAATTTTCTATAAAAAGAAAATAAAAAAGAAATTTAATGAAAATTTTCTATAAAAAGAAAATTTAATGAAAATTTTCTATAAAAAGAAAATTTAATGAAAATTTTCTATAAAAAGAAAATTTAATGACAATTTTCTATAAAAAGAAAATTTAATGAAAATTTTCTATAAAAAGAAAATTTAATGAATATTTTCTATAAAAAGAAAATTTAATGAAAATTTTCTATAAAAAGAAAATTTAATTAAAATTTTCTATAAAAAGAAAATTTAATTAAAATTTTCTATAAAAAGAAAATTTAATTAAAATTTTCTATAAAAAGAAAATTTAATGAAAATTTTCTATAAAAAGAAAATTTAATGAAAATTTTCTAAAAAAGAAAATTTAATGAAAATTTTCTATAAAAAGAAAATTTAATGAAAATTTTCTATAAAAAGAAAATTTAATGAAAATTATCTATAAAAAGAAAATTTAATGAAAATTATCTATAAAAGGAAAATTTAATGAAAATTTAAAAAAAAAGAAAATTTAATGAACATTTTCTATAAAAAGAAATTTAATGAAAATTTTCTATAAAAAGAAATTTTAATGAAAATTTTCTTTAAAAAGAAAATTTAATGAAAATTTTCTATAAAAAGAAAATTTAATGAAATTTTTCTATAAAAAGAAAATTAATGAGAATTTTCTATAAGAAGAAAATTTAATGAAAATTTTTTACAAAAAGAAAATTTAACGAAAATTTCCTATGAAAAGAAACCTTAATGAAAATTTTCTATAAAAAGAAAATTTAATGAAAATTTTCTATAAAAAGAAAATTTAATGAAAATTTTCTATAAAAAGAAAATTTAATGAAAATTTTCTATAAAAAGAAAATTTAATGAAAATTTTCTATAAAAAGAAAATTACGAAAATTTTCTATAAAAAGAAAATTTAATGAAAATTTTCTATAAAAAGAAAATTTAATGAAAATTTTCTATAAAAAGAAAATTACGAACATTTTCTAAAAAAAGAAATTTATGGAAAAATTTCTAAAAAAGAAAAAAATTATTAAAAATTGTCTATAAAGAAGAAAATTTCACGAAATTTTTTTTGGGGTGAGATTCACGCAAAATTTAAAAGCAATTAGATTAAAAAAAATATTGTTCTAACAATTCAAACTACTATTAAACTTAGCGCTGTTCGTTAATAACAAATCCTTTTTAGAGCAAACACGTGCGCAAACATAATCTGTTTCATTATAAACATTTGCAATCATTCACTGTGTTTGCTTTTTAACACATTTTGCTGAGTTATTATTACTAATTAAGTGCAATTAAAACTTCTTTAATAAGTTGCTGTTCGAAGCTGAGAAAAACTCTATTAAAAGCGTTTTGCAGCAAGGAAAAGTATAAAATTTCTAGAGATTAATTTAAGTGTGTGTGTATGCGCTTGTGAAAATAATGAAAAAAGTTGTATTAGAAATATGTACGTGTAGTTGTAAATGTAATTAAAAAAGAAATTGTTCAACACCACAAAAATCGATAATTTTCAGTATTTAATATTTATTACAGATATGTATGTAGTTTAGTTAGTATGAAAAATGTGTTTAAGTAATTTACGTTGTTAATTAGAGAAAATATAGGAAAATTGGTGTATTTCTACAATAAACATAAATTTATTTCAATGTGCTTTAAATAACCTTTAATTTGTAAGAATATGCCCTTTGTTTACATGAATATGTTGCAAGTATTAGGTCAATTATTTACTAGTAATTTCTAACTATTTATATAACAAACTCCATTATAATGGTGGCTACAACAATAAAATTGTTAAGTCTATCTAAAAATCATTAAAGTAGATTTCCTAAACCATAAACACTTATTCACTTTGTTGTTTGTTTGTTTTTAAATGATTATCTCATTATTACTAAATACAGTTAGTAAGCATATACATACATTCATATGTTTGTATGAAATCATGTTATTTGAGTAAAACTTTGTTATAAAACATTAGTTTAATGCGGTCATAATGATTGTTTGTCGTCAACTTTAATGACAAATACGTGTAGAACAATTAGAAGTTATTTTGCTTTCTATTCAACGTAATGAGAACAGCATAGAAAAAGTAGAAAGAGGATATGTGTTTTAGAAGGAAAAAACATTTTTCAGTGGCTCATTGGAGACTATAAGGGGACATTATTCGATTGAACGTTAAATGTCATATCACATGGGAATTTGTATGTGTGTTATTTTATATAATTATAATTGTCCTAAAAATATATTTAATCGTTTGTGATAAAAAATGAAAATGTTTAATGTTTAGAAAAATTGGAGATCATTAAGTTGCTTTTTTTTGATAAGGATCACTTTTTGATTAATTGAATTTCTATTTTGAAAATTTTCTATAAAAGGAGAATTTATCGAAAATTTATAAAGAATACAATTAATTGAAAATTGTTCATAGAAAGAAAATTTAACGAGAAAATAATATGAAAATTCAACAAATATTTGCTATAAAAGAAAATTTATGGAATATTCTCTACAAAAATAAAACTTAACGAATAATTTCTATAGAAAGAATATTTATCCAAAATTTTCTTTAAAGTGGAAATTTGTCGACCATATTCTTAAAAAGAAAATTTATAGAAATTGTTCTATTAGGAGAACATTTATTGAAAGTTTTCTATAAAAAAAACAGTTTTAGAAAATTTTCAATAAAAAATAATATTTAGAAAAAAAATTTCATTAAATTGAAAATATTGAAATAAAAAGAATTTCAATTTCTATAAAGAAGAAAATTTGTCGAACATTTTATTAAAAGAA